TCAAAGAAAGCCTAAAGTCACTTTTCAAACCGAACATCACCTAAAATTTCGCTTCAACTCACATACTGGCCAAGTTCTAGACACAAGTACAATACATAGACTATACAAAAACCTCACCACACATGGCACATGACTCACTAAGAACGGTCTCATTCCGACTCTCAAACAAATGCAAATATTCACAAAGCCACGAGATATTAAGCATTAAGCACAAAGTGAACATAAGTCAAGAAAATGAGACATAGGCGCCACAAAACATGCTATCCAAGTAAGCAAGACATCATCAATAATTTCAAATCATAGGGAAGATACTACACATGCCAAAGCCTAAATATGCTACTATCAAACAAGTCAAGGGCGCCTAGGTTTATCTCATCTTTCTTCCTCCATTTTATTCCCTAAACTACTCTAAAAGAAAAAACTACCCAGTTCAAACTACATCCCATGGAAAAGAACCGAGGCGCAAAGAAAAACCACAGGGGATTATTACTACCTAAAGGAAACTAAAAGACATATTTTTGGATTTTTTTTGTTTAGACTTTAATCCCTCAAGAAAGCTGTCCACAAAATCCATCGTCGGAAAAAGTCCAAATTTTTCAAAATTTTTTTTTTCGTTTTTTTTTTAAAAAAAATTACTACACTAAGAACGAGTACTATAACTAAGCTAACATAGCACAGCAAATCACCCAGACAATCTCCTCACCCCACACTTAAAATTGTGCAATGTCCTCAATGCACACTGAAAATAACAAGAGGGTAAAAGAGACTCCCTGGTAGGCCAAAGGCCGAAGCATTAGCAGCTCACGGGATACTCAGACTTCTCCCAGGTACAGTCCTTTGTGCGGGCACCCCACACTCAGACTTCTCCCAGGTACAGTCCTTTGTGCGGGCACCCCACACTAAGTTCTAACCACATGGCTCACTTTTGCACACTTCCTGTGGCTTTGCTCCCTATGCTCAAAATCCTACAAAATAAAACAACACTACAAAAATAATAAAATAGACATAAATAAAAGAAAGCAGTAAAGTTGGGTTGCCTCCCAACAAGCGCAATTTAAAGTCGCGGCACGACTTGAACCAATTTTTGTCTCCACCTTGAACTTATGAATTGTACCCCTAACATGGCATCCAGTCTGTTGCTATGCACCTTTGGTGGGGCTACAAAGATAACCAGGCCAAGTAATAAATTTTTCACTCGGCACCTCTCGGCCTTTAGATGGGGAATATAATCTTTGCTTTCTGGCACAACAAATTCAAGAATATAGGCACTCTCATCCTCACCTTTTGACTCCTCTATAGGCTCAGATGGCTCGATCACAATCTTACTATCTAAACACAGTGTGGAAAAATGATTGGAATGATGTCTAATGCGCCCTAACTCATGAATTTTACTACTATTTGCATCCCCATATTTACACACACTCAAGTCTCCTAAAGTAATGTTATCTACTCCCTCATATGACTCTAGAGCACTCTTCTCAATATTTGCATCCTCAAGAAAAACATGGTCTAGTGATTGGTATTCTCGTTTTAGCTCCTCAATTTGGTCTAGAAGATTTTTTTCAGCTTCACACAACTCATTATTAATTTGTTGGGCGTTACACGCATCAACCTTTGCACTCAAATCTGCATCTAAGTTATGTACAGCCAAGCCAAAATTATCAATTTTATGTGCAAGTTCATCTCTCTCCTTAGACCAATCATTTACCAACATTGTTAGAAGACAACGTCGTTCCTCATATTCCCTTAATCGTGAATATTCTTCCCAATACCAACCCTTACTCCCATATTCAAATTCAGATCTCCAAGAAGTCAGGCCATGACAAGACCAAAAATACGAGCCATAAAAGTCTTTTGTCAACCAAGAGTCTTCATCAATAGCCTTACATCCGTATATTTCATCCCCAGATGTCATGCTGAGAGAACTAGGAACACACTAAGAGAAAAATATCAAATATTTGTAAAAATAAAAGTATATACAAAAAAAAAAAAATTAAAAGTCTAATCTAGAAAAATAGCTAATTTCCAAGTCCCCGGCAACGGCGCCAAAAACTTGTTGCGGCCAAATACACACGCAAGTATACGCGGTCGTCAAGTAATAAAGTGACTAAAAGTCGGATGTCGTTCCCACGAGGACTTGTGATTAACTATTAACTAAATTAGACTATCCTAATTATTTATACAAGAATTAAACCTAGAAGTATTTGATTCTAAACTAATTAAAATAAATAAAAATAAATAATGAACTTTGGACAGAGAAAGAGCAGATTTTTATGATATCAATGTAATGAAAACGATCTAGGGTTATGGGCTATCTAACATTCCTATTGTATTCTTCAATTGAATTGACTAACTAATTTATATAGTTTATTGGTTGACAGGGTTAATATTGCTCATAAGAATCTGTCGAGTCCTTACTCGCCTATTCAAGCTAACCTAACGCCTATATGTCTATGGAATTAGAATCAACAAGAACGCATTTATAATTTCTGTAAATCAACCAAGCAAGGCAATTGGGTATATGTCTATCCCAATTGATAATCCGTTCCCCGAGGCCCGGGTTCAAGAACTTGCTCTACTCAATCCTATATGCAATCTAGAATTCCCACTTTCGAGTTCAACTCTAGATTCGTAGATAGTATTCAATTGGTGATCAAGCAATCAAATAATTAAGTGCAAGATTGAATAAATAAACCAATATGATAAACTAAGAAATCAAAATCAATATCCGAATAACAATAGTCATGAAAGAACCACAACCCTAGAACGTGAAGTTTAGCTCCACATAGACATGGTAGCAAAACAACAAATCATACAAAGAAACATAAAAATTACTAAGTTGGTGGAAGAAAAGATGAAACCCGGCCTCCACGGCGGCTCTGTGCTCTTCCTTGGTCAAAAATTGCTCTCAAAAACGTTCTCCTATGTATATATACCAAGTAGGGTTAGGCCCAAACAATTATACCTTCTCCAATGTGAAAAAGGACACTTTTTCCGAGCTTAACTAGCGCTGCAGCGCATTTGACCGCGCATCTGGGCGCGCTAATTGGCTGACTTTCTGTTTCTGGGCGCGCTAAAACTAGCGCGGCCGCGCATCTGGGCATTTTTCACCCTGTTACGTTCCGAATTTGGAAAAACGTAAAACATGAAAGTTGTAGCCCTTTGAGTTAGCTTTCCAACCATATATCGTGGAGCCAAAATAGAGTTCTGAGCGAAAAGTTATCTGTAACACGATCCCGGCTTAATTCCTTGAACTTTTACTCAAACTTTAAAGCTCCAAATCACTTGAATTCATTCCATAACATCTATATAGCTCGGAATCACTCCTACAAGGCATAAAACATAAAATTAGTGCAAAACACTAGCGATTAAAGCTCAAACTCAATTAAAGTGCAGTAAATTAGAGTGTAATAATCGACTAAAATACGTAATTATAGCCTATCATCAATACTAAATGATTATCTACGTACTAATAATATGTAGACACACGTGTATGTCTTATGGGCTATTTATTTATCATCTAAAATTCAGTTGTTTTGTGGTCAAATCAAGTCGCATTATGTCACTTCATTAAGTCTTTCTTACCTCTTTGGTTTACATAAGATAATCAATATACTGATTTAGTTAATCTTTTATGAATTTAATCCAGTGTTGTTAACCACTTATATCAGAAACAAATCTTTAAGTTTCAACATTGGATGATCTATTTATCTTCTTTTTTTCTTTTATTTGGTTCAATACCCATGTTCCCCCCCCCCCCCCCCTAATAATATTAGTAATTCGAGTCATCGAATATATGCTACGTTCCATCAATAAAAATATGTATCTTTAAGAATACTGATGTGATCAAATATTATCCCAAAAGCGAATCACCTTATCACCCAACAAAATTCTAATTCATATTCTATTGAAAGCCTCTCCGTAAAAGTAACACCTTTGGATAGAGGTTGGCCAATTATTTTTTGTCATTGGATAGTAAGGAATTTAATTGTAACATCGAATTTCGCATTTGAAAAATTAAATACAAGAAAGATAGCAACTAATATAATACTTGATTTCACAAGTGATGAAGGTTGCAATCTCTAGAATATGTTAAATCTAAAAAAATATAATCCTCTGATTCTTCTCCTCGTTAATGTCAGTTCAAGGGCTCGAGACCTTGATGTTGAACTTGATTGATTAAAGATTTGTAGTACGTCATAAATTATTAGGTGATCGTTACGAACCAGGATTTGAGATCATCATAGGCGGAAGATTTGGAGTTGCCTACCTACAATTTGACTTGATTTCGCCTTTGAAAATTGACCACGGACAAAAATTATACATATAGAGAAAGACCTTGATATTATTCTTCAGAACTTCTCTAGCCTTTCTTCTGCTTGCTTGATATATTTTCAGTGTCGTGATTTTTCTCTTCTAAATGAGCGATATGACCCCTTTATATAATTTTTTCTCAAAGACCATTGTGCTTGAGACTCATGCATCGACCCACTCGATAGAAGGTCATCTAATAAGCTAGTCAAATACAACATGACTTTTATTTAAATCAATTTAATTAGATTTAAATAGTTAATTCAATCATATATTTTAATTTATAGTAAAAGCTAAATTTCGTATGAATTTAAATTTAATAAAATTTTAATTATTAAAATAATATTCTCCACCAAAATTCAAGCTAAAGTAAAAAAATTACCAACTATCTTTTTTATCTTTATTTGAATAAATTTGTACTATGGTCTTCAAGATAACATTTATGATCTTTCCATTTTCACCCTGGATCTACTTTCCGTTTTTTTACTATTCATGAATCAAGAATATGTTCACTCGAATTCCATAATTTCTAAATTTCATTGATATATTTTAAAGTTTAAATAAGAACCATAATTGATACCAATAAAATTCATAGATCTTGAGAAACAATCAAAATCAATACCGAAATAGTATTCCTTTTAATATCAATAATAATAATTCCAAAACTAATTTCAAAAAGCAATCTCAAACCCGACCCGATAACCAAATCAAAACCCCCACCATAAATATCAGCCCCTAGTTCTGCTTTATCCTCTTCTCTCCGGAACCCTAGCCCCCAATTCAGAAAACCCTAATCTCTCTCGCTACCGCAAACCCTAATTTTCATGGCGAAGAAGAGAAAAACCAGAGCTTCCGAAGCCGCCGTACAACCAGTAGAAGAAGAACAGCAAAATATTAAACAAGAATCAGCAGATCTCGAACCCGAACAAGAACAAGAAGAGTACCAAAACGACGCCGTAGAAGAAGAAGAAGAAGAAGCAGTTCAAGAGGACGGAGAAGAACCAGATCCTGAAGAAGATGAAAACGAAGACGGTGATGATAATGAAGAAGAAGAGGAAGAAAATCCAGGATCTGGAAACAATGCCGTAAATGAAGTTAACGGAGGCGGTAGTGAGGTGAAGCAGGAAGGAGGAGGCGATGAAGAAGAGGATTTAGAAGATGAGCCACTTGAGAAGCTTCTAGAACCTTTCACGAAGGATCAACTTACAGCGCTTATAAAAGAAGCTTTAGTTACTTACCCTAATTTGAAGGATAATATTCAGAAATTGGCCGATAAGGATCCGGCGCACCGCAAAATCTTCGTGCACGGCTTGGGTTGGGACACTACAGCTGAAACCCTAACGAGCGTGTTCGGGAAGTACGGTGAGATTGAGGATTGTAAGGCTGTTACGGATAAGGTTAGTGGGAAGTCAAAAGGATACGGGTTTATTTTGTTTAAGCATAGGAGTGGCGCTAGGAAAGCATTGAGGGAACCACAGAAGAAAATTGGTACTAGGATGACTTCTTGCCAGCTGGCTTCGGCTGGGCCGGTCCCTGCCCCGCCCCCTACAGCAGCGGCTGCCCCACCAGTTTCTGAGTATACTCAGAGGAAGATTTTTGTTAGCAATGTGGCAGCTGATCTTGATCCTCAAAAGCTGTTGGAGTTTTTCTCTAAGTTTGGTGAAGTCGAGGAGGGTCCACTTGGATTGGATAAGCAAACTGGGAAACCCAAGGGGTTTTGTTTGTTTGTGTATAAGAGTGTCGAGAGTGCAAGAAAGGCATTGGAGGAGCCGCATAAGAGCTTTGAAGGGCATACACTTCATTGTCAGAAGGCCGTTGATGGGCCGAAGCACAATAAGAACTACTATCAGCAGCACCAGCAGCCGCAACAGCATTACCCTCAGCACCAGCAGCACCAGCAGTATTATCAGCATCCTGCAAAGAAGGGGAAATATTCAGGTAGTAAAGAATTTCACTATGTTGTATTGGTTTCTCTAATTTTTTAATACACTTGTACAGTGATTTAGTTGGGATTTGTCACTTCAAAATGTAATTGCAGTAGTTAATAGCAATGTAAAAAATTCATTACATGCATACAACTTAAATCCTGTGCAGTAAAGTTGATTTAATTGTTACCTTCAAAAAACTCAGGTGGTAGTGGCAGTGGAGCAGCAGCATCAGCTGGGCATTTGATGGCGCCATCAGGGCCTGCACCCGTGGGATTCAATCCTGCTGTGGCTCCGGCTCTTGGGCAGGCATTGACAGCCCTGTTAGCTACACAAGGAGCTGGTTTGGGGATTGGGAATTTGCTTGGAGGTTTTAGTGGGCCAGTGAATCCTCAGGGTGTGCCCCCAGTGATGAACAATGCCGGAGGATATGGTGCCCAGGGTGCTGCTGGTGGCTATGGAGCTCAGCCGATGCAGTACCAAAACCCGCAGATGCAGGGCGGTGCAAGACCACATGGTGGTGCACCTTACCCAGGCTATGGAGGTCACTAGAAAAGCTTAAGGTGTGATCTCTCTCTCACGCTTTGCATGTTGGTGTCTAATGCTTATAGAGTTAAATTTGCTAACAGGGCAATATTGTACTCCACGTGGAATTTCTTACCATGGACTTGAGTGATTCCTGTGCTTATTTGCTTTGCTTGCATCTATATTAAGGGAGTGTAGCATGTACTAGTTTATATTTCTATATCATGCCCATTTTAAATGTAATGCATCTTCAGTGGTTTAAAAGGCCGGGGTACTACTTAGCTATTTGTGTAATGCATCATTGACTATAATTTTAACCAGCTAGGAATTTACTTAATTTGCAAAATACTTTCAAATCTGAGAGTTGACTGGAAAATACTTTTAAATCTGAGAATCTTGGTAACAATGTTCTCTTACTACATGTAATCCTAGTCTCATTGTGTCTGTCGTGGAGGAAGTCTTTGATGCGTTGTTATGCACGTCGTTGACTGAAACATAGTTTTTGTAATTTGTAACCTAAAACTTGTTGATTATTCAACAATATTGCCCTACTTAAGGAAAACCATGATAAGGTAGCCAGAAACTGCCCATATAAAAAATATCAAAGAATAGACATAGACTAGAAATGCAACATCAATGTGCATAAGAAGGTTTATGGTGTTCTCGTCTTCCATTTTGTTGTCTTGGACAGGTATCAGTAATACGATGGTTGTACTTCCAAGTAGGTAAAATTTATTGATTTGTTTGTTGCTGCTCATATTCATTTGGTTTGCTTGTTTATGCACTGTATCTTGCTTGTTGGTTAAATTTCTGTCTTACATAAAAGCAATATCTTTTGACTTGTCTTTCACTTTTCTCAAGGCATTATTCTCACCTGCATTTCATGGGTTTTTCTGCTAAAAATATTTTTCTACTTAGTTTTTTTATGTTTTACCTATTCATTGTGCAGATTCCTTGATAAAATGCATCAAACTTTTAGTTTTGGACTGGTGATTCTTCTGAAGTTCCGGGCACTCTCCAAATGAAGTCTTTTACTATGACAAAAGTTACCTTTTGCTTAAAAGTCCATGATCTTCAATGTGTATTTTCTTTTTAGTCAAGTACTTCTATTCCAGTGAATGTTTTTAAACACTATGTAGTATTTTGCACTAAACTTTTCTATCTAAAAGGATTGAGAAGACGGTAGGGTATCCTACCCATCTCTCACCAGTATTTGAGTATTTAGCAATGTCTTTCTAACGTTCAAACATCTTACTCTCTGAATAGTTTCTTCTACTGCTCCCCTCAACATCATTGTGTCTCATAAGAAGCAACTTTTGCTTTCCATCGGTTCAAAGAATTACATTATGAACACATCGAATGGTCAGCTAATTTGTTTTAAGGATTATCTTGTAGCAATTGCCGTTGCAGGTAAATGGTGATGTTCATGGCATTTCGCTGGAGGTGTCCTCTGCTTTCCTCCATTTTTCAGTGTTTGAAGCTTGTTATGCTTGTGGGTTAAGAATGAACTTTATAAATAGACTGAACACTGATTTCGTCTCCTCGTCACAACCACTGGAATATGCATATATATGATTAATATGTAAAGATTTGATTTTCATGGTGGGGTTAAATTTTATTTTCTTTCTGAAGAGTCTATTGGCTTATTTTAACCTGAAATGGTGGTGAGAGAAATGGAAAGGTTTCTGAAATATTCTGCTATAACTGGTTTATCAACAGCCTTACAAACCACACTAATTGACTCTTCAAAGCCTTTTCTTGATTTTAAATATACCCATCTTTCGGAGGAGGGGAGGGGTTTCCTCTCCTAGTTGATCATTTTAACATTGTATTGTATTAACATTTATGAAATGGAGGATTCTAACAGAAGGGTGTGATGCAAGAATGCCTTGTAGCTTTGATGTTTTGCATCCAGGGGCTGAGCAGGATGTCATCCTGGCATTTGAAGATGGTTGTAGCCTTGTCAAAGATGGCTGGCCGGTCAGATCAGCAGCAAATGTATCTTGTCCAGGACTTGGTGCTCTAGTGATGTTCATATAGAAAGATAGCAAAATGCATAGTAAACGATATTTCTGGCATGTGGTTTACAAATGGATCAACCTTTCACTCGTGCTTTGTCATGAAGAGGTTTTTCCCCAATTCCAAACCCGCACCACCTGCTTGGTTGAGCTGAGTTCTCTTCTTTGCACTCTTACACAATTGGGGATAAGAATGGGCTACAGATTCTTACCCCCGTGGCTACGAAAATTGACATGATAGAATCCTAGAAGGGTACGATGAGCTTGGCTTTGCTTCTCTTGATCCTCAACCGCCTTCCATAGAGGTGGGTTAATAGCTCTAACCTGTTGTTCGTCTAGTTTTGAGTTTCTAGGTTTTAATCACTTAGCATTGCCATATCAGTAATATTGAAATTAGGTTGATGTGGTATCATGGGAGTCTTCATCGTGTTGATATTGGTTGTTGCTTTACCTGGACTTCAGAAACCGAGCCAAAGGAAAGTAATTAAACATCTATGATTCCCTTTAGTGTGTCCATCAACCGTGGACGTTTAGATGGTGATTATGTTTTCTTTTTTCGGAGTCCATCAACCGGCAACTTCTAATCTTTTTCGGAGTATTTGGGTTTGAGTGTACGTGATATATGGTTGGTAATATAATATTGGTTATAGCATTTGTGAATAGCGTCTCACCAATCAAGTGTGGATTAACAGTGAGGATGGGTAAAGAAAAGTTATTTTTCCCCTTCGGCGAAATACAACAATTCTATTACATTACAACAAATTTCATCAAGGTGAACAAATTCTTTGTCTAGTCGATCCAATATTTGGAATCGGCATAATGATGGGGTCTGTTTTAAAGTTTCCAAAATTTGAGTTTTCAAACACTTTTATTATAATTTTTGCAAGAAGTGTTAGGTTTGGGTTTTATTTTTTTCTTGTAAGGTGTTAAGTTCTTTTAGGAGCAAGTTTTTGTGTTCTTGCATGTTGCGTCAGTACAAGTTGGTTGATCCCCCATGTAAAGTTGACTAAAAGAATTTAACCAGTTAGAAATCAAGTGGTAAATTGGAAGAACTAGTGTTTTGAGATTAAAATCATAAAAGATTACAACATCAAACTAGTAGTATAATTTATATAGAACCGAATTCGAAATCGACAAGGTAAATTAAGAATTGATTTAAGAAAAAGAATTACAACTAAAGGGTTAAATTACGAATTCGATCAAAGGCAAAACCTAGTATGAGGAGTCAAGGAAAAAGTTATCAGCCAATTTCTGCTCAACGAATTTGTCAAAATTCAAGTTGTTTTCCAAAAAATGACTAACAATATTTGTTTCAAAGGTTCTTTTACCGAAGTAAGAGTGAGACAGTAAAAATTACGTGGGGCGTCATATTTGGTACCTTTTTAATTTGTAATCGTTTTTTTTTTCCGTTTGCATTCGTACCCATTTTTTTGTTAAAACCATTTTAAAAAGGCGATTTTGCTCTTCTTTTAATAAAAGACTACTTTCAGCAAAATAGACTGAAAGTTCGGGTAAAACACATGATAAATCTGTAGACTGAAGGTTCGGGTAAAGCACATGATAAACTGTAGACTGCAGGACAAAACTTCAGCATGTTTTGGTATGGAGTTTTAGCAAATGAACTAAATAACTTTAGCATGCATTAGCAAAAACTTAAGCATGTTTAGTCTGAAGTTTTAGCAAATGAACTAAAAAACATCAGCTTGTTTAGACTGAAGTTTCGGATAAAACTGTAGATTGCAGGACAAAACTTCAGCATGTTTTGATATAAAGTTTTAGCAAATGAAAATAACTTCAGCATGCATTAGCAAAAATTTAAACATGTTTAGTCTGAAGTTTTAGCAAATGAACTAAAATACTTCAGTTTGTTTAGACTGAAGTTTCGGATAAAACTCATGACAAAACTGTAGACTGCAGGACAAAACTTCAGCATGTTTTGTCAAATGAACCAAAAAAACTTCAGCATACTTAGACTGAGGTTTCGGATAAAACTCATGACAAAACTGTAGACTTCAGCATGTGTTGGTATGAAGTTTTAGCAAATGAACTAAATAACTTCAGCATGAAGTTTTAGCTTCAATGTGAAACAACTTCATGCTATATTAGCATGAAGTTTTAGCTTCAACGTTAAACAACTTCATGCTACATAAGCATGAAGTTTTAGCTTGTACTTGATAAAACTTCAGAATTCAACGTGAAAACTTCATGCTATATCCGTCAAATAACTTCATGCAAGTGTGATTCTTAAGATGAACCTGGTTCAAGTTTCTGGGTTTTTGGATAAAGCTGCTGAGAGGGGAGGAGGAGATCTTTTTTCACGAATGAGGTTGCAGAAGTGATTAATGCATGATGCAGGTTTTATATCTGTTGTCAGGGGTATAATTATCATATTATTATGGATTTTTTGTCAGCTGGCTACCAAATCAATAATTTTTTAAAATAGAGTATAGTTTAAAAGGTGGCACAAATATAGAGTATGGCTACAAATCCCCCGAGTGAGACTCCCTTAGCCCCAATATACATTCAAGGGAGAAACTTTGAGAATGACCTTTATTTATTTTTAGCTAACAAAAAGTTATCAATAATATATAATATTCAAAATACCTAAAAATATTTTTCTTTCAATGGGTATGGTTGGAACTTGCTGAAAACACATACATGGGACAACTAGTGGTAGCAAAATGGATTAAAAAAATAGTATTTTATCCATATTATCCAAATAGGTTGAGTAATAAATTAATTAAAATGGGTTAAATATCGATAGAAACTATATTATCCACTTAAAAGATAGATAATCAATGGATAACCAGTGAGTTTAATTTTTATATTTGTAAAGACCCAAGTTGGGGGTTCCTCAAGTTTGAGCAAATAGGAATTCTCCCAAAAGTGATCATATTTAAGATGCCATAGATAATATGGATATCCATATATCCATATTATCCGTTGGTTAACCCATTTTTATTCGTATTAAATACGTGGCGGATTGGATATTTTATCTATTTTAATCTATTTTTGACCCGTACATATTCGATCTGACCCGCCTGTTTGCCAACTCTAAGGACAATACACAAAAAATGAGGAAGATCGGAGGTGATTTGAACTGGTTTTGTGAAAATTCTTAGTTGAAATCAAGTTTAAAACTTTCTTTTGGACACATGTATCTCACACACATATATACACGAAATATACATAAATATCTAGGGAATACACATGTGATACATATGATATATATACAAGAGAAACATGAAAGATACACCATTATACATGCATAAATTTCATCTTCTTCCTTCGTATTGCAGCTCAAATTTTAACTCAAATAATATCAAATCGTTCTGAGTTTCAAACTACTTAAGATGTACCCATTCTATTCCAACAATATCCACTCGAAAATAAATTTTACCTTTTGGAAACCCAAATTCTCAAACTCAAGCTTAAGTGAGCCTCAATGGAGTTTTAGCTCATCTTCTATTTTAGTTTTGGCATCAGCGGGTGATATGTGTACCGTATCTTACAAAACTTTTTGATCAGTTCATCGTGTTCAAGACCACAGATTGTCATCAAGGGGAAATAAATCTTTTTACCAAACTTTTTGATGAGTTACACCCCCAACACATTTATTGAACTTCATATGCCATAAGCTTCCAGTTGTGATGGGGTTAGAGGTGTTTGGAGGCTAGGGGTACATGTTGTATACATTAGGGCCATTAAGGATATGTACGAAGGAGTTAAGACCCGAGTGAAGATAGTGGGAGGGGACTCGAATTACGTTCCAGTTGTGATGGGGTTGCACTAGGGGTCATCCCTCAGCCATTTTTTATTTGCCCTGACAATAGATGCACTTACGTGCCCCATTCAAGGGGAGGTACCGTGGTGCATGTTATTTGCGTATGACATTATGCTGATTGACGAGACATGATGCAGTATTAATGCGGGAGGTGGACACTGGATTCTAAATGTTTCAAGTTGAGTAGGACCAAGACAGAATACTTGGAGTACAAGTTCAGTGGTGCGACTCATGAAGCGGACAAGGTTTTGAGGCTGGATTCACAAGTCATCCATAGGAGAGGAAGTTTCAAGTATCTTTGGTCAGTTATACAAGAGGATGGAGATATTCATGAGTATATCACACATCTTGTTGGGCGGGGTGGTTGAAACGGAGGCTCTCTTCCGGTGTTTTATGTGACAAAAAGGTGCCTCTAAAACTTAATGGTTAGACCAACTATGTTCTATGGGTATAGGTGTTGGACAGTTAAGAGCTCACATATCCAGAAGATGAAGGTAGCTGAAATGAGGAAGTTGAGATGGATATGCGAGCATACCAAGATTGATTGAATTAGGAATGAAGTTATTCGGGACAAGGTGTGCGTAACCCCTATGAAGGACAAGATGTGTGAAGCTAGACTTAGGTGAATCGGACATGTGAAGAGGAGAGACACGGACGCACTAGTAAGGAGACATGAGAGGTTGACCTTGGAGAACCTAAGGAGAGGTATGGGTAGGCCGAAGAAGTACTGGGGTGAGGTGATTAGGCAAGACATGGTAATGCTCCAGATTACCGAGGACATGACCTTTGATTGGAAGGTGTGGAGGTCAATGATTATGGTAGCAGGATAGGTGGCCGAGCAGTTTTTCTTCTTCTTACTAGTAGCATTAGTACGTGATCTCTCGTATTGCTTTTAGTCTTAGGTTTCTATTATTACATGTTGTTGCTTTCGTTTTGATCATCTTACTATCTTGTTGTTTCCAATGCTTCTTTTCCATGGCTCCTTGTTGTTGTTTCTTGCTATTTTCTTTTTTATTACTGTTGTGCTTATGTTTCATTGAGCCGAGGGTCTATTGGAAATAACCTCTCTATCTTCACGAGATAGGAGTAATGTCTGTGTACATACTACCCTCCCCAGATTTCACTATGTGGGATTACACTGGGTTTATTATTGTGGTTGTTGCATGTGTCATATGTTTGGGTCAGACTAATTCTACATTTCCGATCAAATGGTCTGCCATAAATTTATATTACTGTTTGTTGTTTCACTATAGGTAAGTTTTTCTTTGAAACTATTGCAGTAAGTCCAGAAGCAATGTAGCAAAAATTAGAGTTGAAATAGAAATTTCCAAACAAGGCATCGAGCTCATAAGCTCTGGCCATAGCTTGTTAATGTGGTTCTTGTCATTTTTGTGCTCCAATAACCTTCCATGCCATATTTGCCTATAACAACTTCCTTTCACAGAGATTCTTTTTTGATATCGAACATTCAAAGTCATTTCATCGACAAATATGTACATACAAGCTGTATTTATATTAGAAAATTTATTAAATATATATAAATATTTTAATTGCGGACCTAGTAACTAAAACTGAGTTATGAGTTCAAAGGAAAGAAAGGTTCCATATATCACTCTCCACCCTGTTGCCGCACCCGTATTGGATCCTCCAAAACTACACTATTGGTGAACCCGACACAACCAACAATATTTTTGAAGAATCTAAGCAAGCCGCACCCGTATTGGATCCTCCAAAACTACACTATTGGTGAACCCGACACAACCAACAATATTTTTGAAGAATCTAAGCAACATAGCTCGATGAATAGAAGAGGTGAGATCGGATCACCTTGCCTTAACCCTTTTTGTGCACAATAATGCCTTTAAGGTTACCACTGATAATAACTGACTACTTCACGGTGCTTATACAAAAATGAATCCAAGTTGATCCAACTTCTACCAAACCCCATAATTTGTCAATCGCTATTTTCAGACTCTTTGTTAGTAGCTCAGAGAGGATTTTGTAGAAGCTTCCAATTAGACGTTAAGGAGAGCCCTGAAACAACAGTAAAGTTATTTACATTGGTGTTGCTCTTTGTATTTGCAGGAATATTTAGTGCTTTCTTTGGAAGGTGGAGTAATAACATCACTGAGGCCAAAGCAATCATGCTTTATGTTGCTCGAACTTTCAAAAATATTGCCAAGTGCGTGTCGGATCCTCCACATATAATGCATTTTTTTATGATCCAACACAAGTGCGACAACATTTTTGAGAAATCCTCCCATCACATTTGCAAGTCATGCAAAAAGCAAGGTCATAAAGAAACAAGTACATAATTTTCAGCTTAACAAGATCCCAGAAATTATCATAAACACAAACTATGTCCAAACATGGTCATTGCCAGCTAAACACCCAAACAGAGGTGCATCATCCAAAATAGCTTAAGTAGCAAGTACCCTAAAGCCAAAAGATGTCATGGAGATTTCAACATGGTCCTACACCAAGACCAAAACACGGCAGAGTAACATCACCTAAATTGTTCAAATACCACTTGGAGTTTTAAACCGAAACTATTCACAAACAACCAAACATCCATTAACCACAGATGGTAAAAGCAAGCAGGAGGCTAGTACAAAGCCTCAACAAAAGAACATGGAACTGGAAACTTTTTCCTCGAGCTTAGGGAGCTGGGGAACGGTAACTGGACCAGCATTTGTAACTCCCCCACGGCTTGAGGACGTCTCTGATGTATCTTCAAACTTCATCCATTGTCCCATCTGAGTGGCAGCCAGATGAGCATAACAGATGGGAGCAACTGCATATGGACAAATAATGAGTGCAAATAGAAAAACAAAAGGGAGAAGTGTCGATTATTTAACAAGATAAAGTTCTTTATCCAGAAACCATATTTGGCACTACTGTTTTTCGCCAACAGAATGACACTTACCAACAGATATTGCAGTTGTGCTCCTTTGGTAGCTGCAAGGATGATGCAAAAAATTGTTATATATAGCAACATTAGACAATTGATTCTTGATTAAAACTAAAAGATGCTGTGAATTTTTAACTCGGAGATACTTAATGCAGTACTTACACATAAGATAGATTATGAACAAGCTCTTGAAGATCATCAGGCGAGAAACCAATTTCATCATACAAGACATGGTAGTGTGTAGGACGAGTGGTACCCTACAAAATAATCATAGTCCAAATAAGAATCATTAGATATCACCTGACCAGAACTTATTTGGGATTGAAGCACAGTTGACTGATTGAATGTAAATGATTTACCATCATTCAGCAGATACGCCAACTAGTTAAGCTTTTGAAAAATAATTGAGCACAAATTTGTTTCAAGCATGTAAATTGAGACACAAATATTCAAAAGAAAAAAAAATGCAGAATTCTATAGATAAGGCGACCTGCGAAACAAATAAGCAAACGAATTGCTAAAGATATGCCAATGCAACCAAAATGTGGAGAAATCGATATCGATTTAACCACCCCCCCCCCCCAAAAAAAGGAAACACACACACACACACACACACATGGAAAATAAAAAAAAATTACAGTGACGATGCAGATAATGTAATACAGCTGATACAAAGTTACTCACCAAAATCTAGCATCTTCTTGAACTGACTAAGATCAGCCCAAACCATAAACAATTCAATGGTGATTATTTCATAGAGCATGGTTATCAGCTAGCATTAGATGTGGAAATATGACTGTCATTTCTTGTTTCTTTCTTCCCCTTTTCCCTTTGATAGAAATAATCTAATGTTCCCTAAAATACTAGTTTACAAATTTGCAATTAGACAACTGGAAGTGGTCTGAAAAGCTGTCACTGGATTCAGGATGTAGAGTAAAACAACCTTTTGTATTAGATTTAACTATGCTGCTTCAGCCATCGTAATTAGCAATGAACTGAGCTCCAAAACTAAATAATTTTTCAATTAAGGGGAGGACCAGTCAACACATTCAGTATTCATTGTAGAGGATAAACAATAATAGCTGAGAACCTAAGAAAATTCAAGTATGAAATACCAAAAATACTAGACTGAAAAGAGAGTCAGAAAAGAAAACTAAGAGAACATAAGACTTACAATCATTCCAGCATGGGCGCACAAGTAGAAATCATAATTTCTTGGGTGACAAACTTTATTGTCGATAATCGTGCCTGCACAAAAGTGAATGTGTAAGCAACTTCATACAGTGCATTAGTTGCAATTATTATGTAGTGACTTCGAGTTGTACCTGGAGGAACATTGTTAGGATCTCCAGGCTGGAAAAACTTGGTATGATGATTCTTCTGTGCAATTATCACAGTAAACTTGGGTGACCACTTCTCGTCGAGAAACTTACACGCCTATTAATCAACAAACGAAACAACTGACTTAGTACAATTATATCTCGTTTCCCCGAGTAGAGTCCACTATTCCTCAAAATAGCATTTACGAGACTAAACCTCAATGATCTGATCCAGTTCAATGTTCAGAACTTGATTAAATTGAGATTCACTGACACCATCCCTGAAAATTTTAAACAAGACCATAAATAAAACAATGATTATAGAATCTACACATGTACGAAGGCAGAACCACATGTAGTACCACAGCATGAAATGCAGATGACGACTTCCATCGCAGGAAAAAATCAAACTAGGAGTATCAAGATAATTTAAACAGCCGTCAAGAAAATGCCACATATAAGTTACTTTAAGTGACGACAACCCAATTTCAACTAAGAATCAGCATTATCAACTAACAGTCGGGCCACAACCTTACAAATGTTTTATGCGGTTTTCTTCAGATGAGGCTATAGTTAACACCTCAAGTACCTGTGGACTGTTACTGAAGAATTCCTTTTTTAAAGCATTTAGCATTTAACACCTCAGGTCAGTGCCAATATTAGAGCATTTACACGACATTATAGCACACTTGTACAGCACACATTTAGCTGGAACTAAATAGAATAAATGCGAAAGGCAGCTGGATAGATCACCTGAATATAATAATATGCTCAGGCTTCCTTTTTCCAGAACTCACATAAAAATCTAGCAAAGCCTCCCTGCAATTTTGTAGAATAATTATTTCTGGGAGATGCTACAACAGAGTAGATAATTCCAACTGAGCACTGCTTTCATGTAGCTTGAACATTTAACCAAAATAAAATATCCGTTGATGCAGCGTCCTACTTATCATGGTAGAGACCCAAAACAAAAAAAAAACTGGTGAGCACAATAGAAGTGCAACAAGCTTAGCATTGCTCTCTCGTGTAGGTTTATGTAGCACCAATTAAAGCCCCAAGCACCCCCCCCCCCAAAAAAAAAAAGAGAAAGGTGAACCTGAAAAAGCAAACTCACCTCATTATCCCCTCATCCTCAGTGTCAGAAGCACGTTTAAACAAGTTGTCTATCATCTCCACTTTAGGAGACTGAGTGCGCACTGAAGCTCTGTAACGAGATATCGAGGGCCACTGCCTTGAGCTGACAACCTGGTCACGTTAAAGATGAAAATACAAAAAGAGAGAAGCCATTATAAATTTCAAGAGGGAAGAAAAATGCAACATGTTTCCCTCTATGCGCTTGTACACATTAGGTGACTGATCTTTTACATACCAATTCAAGGAAATAATCATAGACCCGGTTGGTTAAAAAGGAAATAAAAATATGATTCAATGAAAATTGACAGAGATCATACCGCAGCAATGGATGGCACATCAGATTGGCCAGGAGAGCCATGTGACACATCCATCCCAAGAATTATGGTGGGAACCTTAGATACCATAGGGATTGCAGGAGCATGTTCAACAGTTAACATAGAATTCAAACCACCAAGCTGCCAAGAAGGAATAACATGATTAGAAAAATATTTTGAGATTTCAAAGAAGCAACGGAAGGTGGAAAAAAGAAGATGCTCAGGATGATAGCACAGAACCAGATGCTCGGAACTCTCACCTTTGCATTTATCTTCAGAAGCACATTGGTGATATACTGGTCATTGACTCTCGTTGGAGCTATGCATTGGGTAACAATGCCGAATTCAGCCAAATTCTTCCGCTTCCATGGTCCTTCAAGTTCAATCAGTTCAATTATATCAGTCATCATCCAGCAGTTAAGAGTTCATTGTTAAGAGAACAAGTAAATCTCACTAACCATAAATGTCACAGTTTTTCCTCTCAGGAAGCAAACAAAGCAGAAATTTCGGTGCCCCGGGAAGTCTTGACTGGACTTCTTCAAACATTTTTTCCACTCTGACAAGCGGCGGAGCCCTTCTGAATTGAGGAGACTCTTCAAAAACATCAAATGGATCTTCCACCATCTGAACACATTTTATAAAATAAGGAACAATGATCAGTCATTCATCTTTACACTCACTTTCCAAGTGAGTGCGAATTTGAGGGAACTTACAATTCCTTTCATTTTTCCACATTTGATAAGATCACTGATTAGCCCTTGTATGTTACAACGTGCAGAAAAGTTGACAACAGCCCAGCGCTCTATCTTTGTCGGATCAACCAGTCTCTGCCCATTCCACATAAAATATGAATAGGAAATTCAATGGACATCAAAACTAAAGAAATTATGAGGATAAATTAACCGATCCAGCAGGAAAAAACATTTCAAACGGAGTGATTCTATACCTTGTTATTGAAATTCCACCTGCCATTACGTGGAACAAAGTCATCACCACCTGTCTTCAACTGAAATGTATAAAGGGTAAGGTCAGACTAGATTTCCAAATTCACTAAATGATCTAATCAGCCAAGAAGTGATTATACATTAAATACCTTTGGGGGAGAAAGAACACGGCCTTCAACCTGGGTGAAGTTACTGCTGATTGAAATTCCACAGGCACGAAGCAGAGGCTCGGCATCATATTTGTTGATTTTGAGGGCCTGCACCAAAACAGGAGTTAGTGCCTATCCACCGGAATACTCCGAGATTCCTTTAATTAAGAAAAACCTACATTGCTTAGGACTTGCATCCTCTCCTGAGGCTTTTGCCTAGATTTCTCCACTAATGAAGATCTCTGGAATGTGGACAGAGATTTTGTATACCTTTGCAACGACACCAAATTGCAGAGCTGAATCGAACAAAGAGAATCTGAGAATATTATATGCACAAAACACAAGTAATGACATAGGCCTTTAATTTTAACCAAAGGCTTTTTACCTCGATAGGGAAATAGGTGGGACGTTTGGGTTTCCCAACATTGATGCAAGGCAAATCCGCAGAATAGCGCAAGTCTATGTTTCGGTGATTGACAAAGTAATCATAAACAGTAATTTCATCACCTTCCCCATCTTTACCTTTCTGCTTCAGGGTAAACCTAAAATGTCAAATGAAGCTGAGTTTTACAACTTAACCATGCCAATGTTTAAATAAGAAGAAATAACAAAAGGAAGAATGGCATACACTCTTGTTTAAACAACAAAAAATAACAAAGGAAAGAAAGGCATACGTTTGCTCCTTACAGGATCTCTCACTCAGTCCAGTAATCTTGTACTCTTGATTAGTTGGACTAGTCTTCACCCTCAAATTCTTGAGCATACGTTTTGCCTAATACATTGTGTAGACAATCCAAGCTTAGCTACAGTTTACATAACTAGATAAACAGATTACCATAAACAACAGTCTACCTTTGCCCAATCCAGCGTAAAGGGATCTTTTGCATTTTGATTTGCTATCAAAAAGTCCACCACAGGCCCAGGCTGGATAATCATTGTGGTAGACACATCTATAATTGATGCAACAGTACAGCATTAAACTCATTTCGTTTGAGTAGAAGTATGAAACTTGAGTACTTAGAGTCATTACCGATGTTCAAAGACAAGCCACTCTGAGTGGTCCTAAAGCTAGAATGGAATCCTCGACAACCAAGAACACCACCGCCAACATCAACAAAGTTCTTCGGGTCATTGTGGAAAAAGGACTGACGAACAAGTAGACAGCCCCTGATACAAGAACATCAACCAAATGAACTGAGAAAACAGACAGATGCAATCAACCCCTCTCGCGAAAAGAAATAAATATAACTTACTGCTTAGCAGCATGCTGCCTTAAAATTATATCCAACACTCTCAAGGCTTCTTGAGAGTTCTCCGACTCTTGACCCCGCAAAGCATTTGCAATTGCCTGCATCGGAATTTTCGCAGCAAAGCTTATCTCCACCTTAAAAGATTTTGATTGGTAAGGACGACGTAACCTTTTCCTGTCACTTTCATTGGGACCTTCATCTGCAGCAGGGCTGCTATTGCCATTGTTCCTGAATGTAAAAAGTTGCAAACAACAGACAGTCAATAACCGCTATATAGGGCACTGGAAACAAGTGAGGCTCAGCCATTTTGAAAACCAACCTATTTGATGTGACGTCTTCAAGAACAACAGTGAACTCCATTTTATTTCGAGGGAGTGCTCCAATGGTAAACAAGCTTTTCTCCCCGTCATAAGCAAAATCCTTTCCAGCTAATTCCGTATCATATGTTTCATGCACTCTATCTAGGACCTTTCTGCCAACTCCCTTCCCATCTACTGGCCGCCCATCTTCATAAAATAGGGCAACCTGTAAAAGAAAAGAGTTAACAAGGTCAGCGAATTATTAGACTATAGAAAACAAAAAATAGAAGACATAAAAATATATAGTGGAGAGAGACACAATACACTGTAGTGATAGAAGTGTCCATCCACATTAGTCACATTCACTTTAAAGTGATTAGTAAGAATTTGAATCTTTTGTCCCTTGTTTCCAAGGCCACGTCTGGCCATGGGAAGACGTAGAGCCGCTTTTTTCTTCACCGGCTCGGGTTCTGATTTTGCAGGAGTGAAATCAGGTGGAACAGGGGGAGGAGGTGGCAGACCCTCTGCTGCTCCATTCTTATCTTCTTCAGCCATTTCAAAATCCTGTATGAAACAGAGTTTCTGAATATTAGAAAACATAAAATTGAAAAATACAACTTGAAATACCATACAAAGATGAATTCTGGGGAGAAAGTGTAGTAAGATAAATTAGGAAAGAGAGAGTAAATTCAGTCAACCCCCTACGAAAACCACCAGCCAATAGAACTGCTACGATGCTACCAAACAATAAGGCAAGAGAAAAGATACGTCAATATTCAGAAAGGTCTACCACTCTTCGTAGGAAGACCTTAAAGAGTGTATTGAAAACTGAAAATAACAAATCCAGAATACACAAACATTTGGGTAATGTAGACAAGTAGTTTGACTGCAAAAACATCGAGGAAAGCACTAAAATGAAATGAAGAAATCACAGCAGCCACCAACAAGTGAGGTCATCAAAACCAAGCAAGATGCAAGGCAACTATCATTCATAAAACAGATTGTTATTAAGAAGCACATTGCAAAATGTAAGGTGAAAGTAATCATTCTTTTTCACACAAAGAAAAGGTAAAAGGAATCACTAAGACCATACAAAGCACTCCATATTTGGAAAGAACAAAGAACAACAGCAGCATAGTTCATTTCTTTACTCTCTTCTAGTTTTGATTTTTTTTTCCTTTCCTTTTTCTTTTTGTCAGAGGAGGAAAACCATGGTACAGACATGATGAAAGCAGAAAAACTAGACCAATTACAATTTATACTAAAGACTTCAACCTAAAGACAAAAAAATGGACAACGGATAGACAAAAGGCACATAGTACATCGTATTGTTTAGTTTTACAGAAGTAAAACTTAACAGTATGAGCTTGTTTTTATACTAACTCAACAAAAAGCCATAAAAATGCTGATTGAGCTACAAAAACAAACAGGTCTTTTTTGACATAGCAAAATCAAACAGGTTACAAAATAAGCTGCTTCGTTCTATTTCAGCCTAAGGGTTTTAAGCTAATAAACAAGAAGACCAAAATCTCGAAGAAGGAAGAGACCAAAGCACAGCTTACCATCAAATAACTAGGTAATAACATTAAAGACGGAGTCTAAACAGAGAAGAAGATTGCTGTATTAGAAAATGCAGAAATTCACAAACAAAATAGCATTAAGTACTACTCAGAAAATGTCAAACTCCCCAAGTCAATCCATAATACACACATGCAAACCAAGAAAATCACAAAAAGAGAGGAAAACAAGTCAAACAGATCTCACTAACTCCAAAAAAACCTTGCAATTTTTCATTTGAAATACTCAACAAAAGGTCAAAACTCCACAAATGAAGCAATAACACACACATGCAAGCCAAGTAACCACAACAAAAAAAGATAAGAAAACCCTAACATTTCACACTTAAAACCTACTTTTCTTTTTCCATTTTTTTCTTTCTTCATAAGTTTCTGAAGCCTTTGAAAAAACTAATATTTAAGCGTTGGAGGAGAAATACAAGAATCCCAGAAAGCTTTCATCAGGAACACTATAAAGAACAAAAATCAGACAACCCCAGAAAGTATTAACAAACAATAGCATAGAGCATGGTCAAAACACCATAAATCGAGCCACAATACACATGCAAACCAAAAAGGACAGACAACGAGGTCACTGAAATATGGACTTGCTTAATAAAAAGGCCGCAACAGCAGATTGCAGAGCTCAGCTCAATCCACCAAAACCTACTTTCTTTCCTTTTATTTTGTTCTTTGTCTTTTATAGTTTCTGGGGTTTAAGTTTTAACAACAAAAAAAACCGCAGAAAAATATTGAATCAAAATCACTCAGAACAATATTTTGTTTTTGACTTATTCAGTTTTAGCTTCTTGAAAAAACATATTTCAGTAGAAATACAAAAATCCCAGAAAATTTTCAACCCCATAACTCAAGCCATAACACACACATGCAAGCCTAGAAATTCCAAAAGGAAGAAAGAACAGACTAAAAAAAACGGGAATCCACATTTTTACTTTTATTTCTTTTGTTCTTTGCCTTTCACAGTTTCCAGGTTTTACCAAAAGAAACTGAAGAAAAACACAAAAATAAACAAAACCCAGAAAATATTCAACCAAAAATAACTCAAAGTAAAGCAGCATTAACTGATTTATAAGCAGAAAGAACACAAAAAACACAAAATATACTTCAAAAAAACAGGATTTTTTTCAACAGAAACAGTTAAAAAACCAAAAAATAACCAACCCTAGAAAATATTAAACCAAAATCAGTAAAAAAACAGCAACATTGACTGATTCAAAAGCAAAAAAAAAACTATACATCAAAAAACATCTAAAAATTCCATAAAGATTTTATAAAGGGAATAGCATTTTTTAAGCAAAAATACACAAACCCCATAAAATATTAAACCAAAATCAGTAAAAATATAGCAGCATTGACTATTAAAAAGCAGAAAAAAGGAAAAAAAAAACAAAATACACTTCAAAAAAAATCCATAAAGATTATATGAAAGAAAACCCATTTTTAAGCAAAATAAACAAACCCCAGAAAATTTTCAATACAGAAAAACACAAAATCCACAAAAACAACATCAAGAAAACATCAAAATTTTTGCCATAAGTAATATACCTTAGGCTCTGACAACGGAGGAACCAAGAATCAAGCACTGAGAAAACCCTAAAGTGGAATTTAGAGAGAGAGAGTGGACTGAGAAAAAGAGGGGAGAGAGTGACAATTTTTGTAGAGAGAGTGGACTGAGAAAAGTGTATTTAGTATAGGGTTGGGTACAACAGTAACGAGTGTCCCTAATATACTGCCTTTTACACCTTTTTTCCCTTTTTTATCTAAGCACCACGTGTCCCTCCCACTATGATTTCTTTCTTCCGTACACAGAAAAAAATTAATTTTTTATGTAATGATGTTGTAATTTACACAATCAAAGATAATTGTAAGTAATAAATACTTAATAAGAATTAGTAATTGATAATTTAGAATTAATTTGTTATTGTAGATTAAAATTTATCAAATTTGTGAGAACAAGATACACAATGAATGTATGTAAATTAAATCCTAAAAAAAAGATAAATTTGAGTACTCGACTGTATTGTAACGCTCGTAAAAATGGATTTTATTAAGATTTCTGTAAAATTTCTGAACCTCGTACGATTAATTCTGCGTAATTTCCAAATTCGTATCATAATTAATTTACACATTCAAACTATTTCCTTTGAATACGGATTGAGACTCTTACCCCTTTTGACAGCATTTCCTGCACTTGGTGGTGGATCTTTTCATTTGGAAACAGGGATAAGCGATGTAAAAATTCAGAACCAATAACGCTTCATTTGATATGATTGTTAAAGAAAACATGCCGATCTCTAAAAGCGATTTTGGTATTGAGAAAGCAAACGGTCAACGAGAAAGTTTAAGACTTAAACAAGCGTTACCGAAGCTAGATTCTCATAGTGAGGCGCTTCGATTTAGCGAAGCACTAGTAGTAGCGCCGAAACCATATGTGCCTAAGAAAATGAGATTGGGTTTAATAAAAATTTATCAAGACGTTTTAACTTGGAATTTTTCTCATATACATAAACGGTGTAACTAAATTTATGTAATCGGTTAATTTTGTTACCTGCTATAAATTTTTACCTTTTTTCAGGTTACTAATGTCACTCATAAGTGTTGTGACATTTAATTACTTGCCTTTTAAGTAATTTGAGTATAATTGACTTATTGATTTCATAAAGGACTTAACTTACATAGATGGATTATTTAGAAATAATTTATATTATCAGATCAGATCATTAAGAATAATAACATGTAATTATTCATAAAATTTGTAATTCATGACCTTAAAATAGTTCATTTTAATAAATTAAACTATACTAACATTCTTATATTTGTCAAACATGTTTTGGCATGATTATCTTGAGCCAAATGTCTATTCGAAACAGTTTTTCTATTTCATGTATGGACTTGTCAGACCTCGCATATATGATTATACTAGATATTTTGTTATTGTATTCTAATATTATACTTAAAAAGTTCATGTTAATAGTGTCAAAATTCGTTATATGTTTTACAAATTGACTGTATGAATAAAGTTTTAATGGTGAAAATATTTCTAGATAATTTAAAAGTATAGACGATGAAATTTTGTATGTGATGCACTATTTTTTTACTCTATATTCTAATGTATATGAGCATTATATCATTTGGGGGTTAAGTATTTTGTTATATTTAACGATGACTTTTTCAAATACTTTTTTTAAAATATTTAACTTTTAAAAATCATTTACTGTTCTTCAATGTTATTTTAAATATCTTATTTATTTTAAAAAGTTAAATTTATACTATTTTGAGGTCAAACAGTTGTATCTTTAGCATGATTGTTCAGATATATTTTTAATATTCTTTAATATAAGAAATTATGTATAATATCTTTATGTCATAAAATTTTAAAGAAATTTAATTTTAAATTAATACTGTAATTTATATGCTAGCCCTCGTATCGAAAACTTCGTGATTCTTTTTTGGACAATGGATAATGTACTTTTGTCCCTTTCAAAGAAAAAAAAAGAATAAATCTCTTGATATTTTTTTAATTAAAGATTAATAATAATACCAAGAAGGGGGCAGAATGGTCCTTTTAAGATTGTTTTGATGTCAGTCTTTGATTTCTCGATATCATAAAATTTTGAATTCGACTTTGTTTATGTCACTGTACCCTAAAAGCAAATATGGTACACTTCAAAAGATCCAATAAAAACCAAGGAGTACGTGCAATGAAATTGTAAATAAAAAATTATTACATAAAAAAAAAAAAGGAATTGTAAATAAAAATTATATATGTAAACGATTTAAGTTACGTATAATGATATTGTAGAAATATTTTTTTAAACAGTAAATGTAATTTTGCTTATTGTAGCATATACTTTATCATTCTTTTCCGAAGACCAATTACTAATAGTTATTATACAAATTTATTTTACGTACCTTATGATTGTATAATTATTTTTATACAGTTACTTCATATAGTTACATTTTAAGTTGAAACAATTTATGCTTCATGAATATTAGAATTCTTTTTGTTTTTTTTATCTGGTGTTAGTTATTCGCAATAGAGTCTAATTGGAATTCACACAGCTTATAAGATACATTAAAGTGGAAAAGAATCCAACCCGAGACGTCTGATTAAGAATAAATGGACTCTATACAATTCACCACAGCCCTTGATGGTGAGTAGGGGTGTATATGGGCCGGATTGATTCGGTTTTATCAAAATCAAACCAAACCAATTATATCGGTTGGTTCGGTTTTGTCGGATTTTTCGGATTTTTTGATACTTAAATATTATTTCAATCTTACTTTGTTAAATTTTTGATAAGTAAATATATGTTTAGCAAAATATAAAAAATTGACAAACATATTATCTATTAAAACATTCTAATGAGAGAATTTTCTTAGTAAAACATATAGTTATTTTTTTAGCCGTCTGACAATAATGTTTCGTTGATGTACACTTTCAAGGTTAACTGAATTTAGTAATTAAATATAAAAATCAATATGATACCTAAATAATAATAATAATCACTTAACATTCGAAAAAGATATAACAATTTAGTAGATCTTAACATATGATATGAATATGAAAGAACAAAGAGATTAACGCATTTCAGTAACACTTGATGAGGAAGTGATCATACAACCCATTATTTAAGGTTAATAAATATGGAGCACTTCATATACTATTAAATATTATATCCCGCAAGATAATCCCAAATATTTCTTGACATTTTTTAAAAAAAATTCTACATAAAATCTTAAAAGTATATATAAAAATTAGTTCGAGTTTTTTTACTCAATACCAAACCAAATCAAACCAAACTTAGACGGATTTTTTACTCGGCTTGGTTTGACTTTTCGGTTTGGTGCGGTTTTCCGGTTCGACCCCTAATGGTGAGTACCAAAAATTGTGTATGAATAATTATGCCTTGTTCGTATAATTTTTATTTAGCATTATTAAATGATCATCACAATTAAGAAGATGAAAAGAGAGTTTGTCCCATCGCACAAAAAAATAAATGAATCTATTGCCCGACTTAGAATGTTTTGATATGATATGATTATATGCAAAACTTTGGCAAAATATATTGTTTACCCTGGAATCCGGATAACAATTGAATTTATATGGGGTTTTAAGGATCCGTGAACTAAAAGATACAAAAGGTTTGGATTGAGGAAAATAAAAGATAAAGACTCAACAATTGCTGCTAAAGTAAATAATCGCAGAATATAATATTGCTTAGAACAATTGTGCTTGATAGCGTACAAGAATTGAGAGAGATGGTACCCTAGTGTAATGGTTTTCCGATTCCCTCTTTATGGGGTCTTCTCCCCTTTTATACATTCTGATTAAGGGTAAAAATAAGGTAGGTAAATTAATTACATCGTGGATCCCTGTAATTACGCCTTAATGGCCTGAAGTGGTTGAGAAAATCACGTTTGGGCGAGATATCCGGCGACGCTTGGTTATCCGTTACGAGTCCGGCTTCCGACCTTGTGTGTTTCTCCATCCGGTGGTGACTCATATCGAGCTCTGCAACGGTCTCGAAGTGACCCGACCTCGGTTGTTGACGTGGCCGTCGTTCTACCTTGCATCCAGGTCGGGTTCGATGGCCCCGACTTGCCCCGGACCGGACCCAACCCGGTCGGGCTCAAGCAAAAAGGGTATCACCCAATACAGATAGTCCCCTCGTTTATTAGAGAGTAATGATAATAAACGATATGATCGGTGACGTGATGCCCGTGACGTATGGCCATACGCCAGCTGAAAAAGCCATCGAGTGCTCCTTTTTCAATCTTGTTATTACTTTGCCTTTTATCTTTTTGGAACGATGGTAGTCCTTTATGTTTTTCGAAGTAGTCTCCGAGTGAATGTATTCGAACTCAGGTGAACTTCGACCTTTGGGTTTTCTCAAGGCAGTCCCCGAGTGAGTTGATTCGAGCTCGGGTAAAAAATCAAACCTTACGTTTTTCAATATAGTCCTCGAACGAGTTTATTCGAGCCCGGGTGAAGTCTAACCCTTAGGTTTTTTCGAAGCAGTCCCCGAGTGAGTTTGGTCGAGCTCGGGTGTAGTTCAAACCTTAGTCCCCGAGTGAGTGTATTCAAACTCGGGCAAAATTCAAACCTTAGATTTTCACAAGATAGTCCCCGAGTGAGTGGAATCGAACTCGGGCAGAAAATCCAAACCTTAGGTTTTTACAAGATAGTCCCCGAGTGAGTGGAATCGAACTCGGGCAGAAATCCAAACCTCAGGGTTTTACAAGACAGTCCCCGAGTGAGTGCATTTGAACTCGGGGAAGATTCAACCCTTAGGTCTTTTCAAGGTAGTCCCCGAGTGAGTGTATTCGAACTCGGGGAAGATTCAAACCTTAGGTTTTTACAAGATAGTCCCCGAGTGAGTGGATTCGAACTCGGGCACAATTTGACCTTTAGGTTTCGTATCGATTTTACGCCTTTTTCTTAAGGTCTTACAAATTCGAGTATACTTCGCCATTAGTGAAGTCGATAATTAGGCCGGTATTACCTCTTTTGAGATTTTATGAATTTGGACCCGCCTTCTCGGGGTCTTATAGTTTAAGTGTTGCCTCATTGAGGTCTTATGAGTCCGAGTATGCCTCAATGAGGTCTTATGTGCCTAAAGGAGGTCTTATGTGATCGAATATGCCTCGAGGAGGACTTATGAGATCGAATATGCCTCGAGGAGGTCTTATGAGATCGAATATGCCTC